CCTTACCTGAGAACTTCCTACCTCAAAGCTTCTATGGATAATTTTATGCATGGTATGCTTACAGCAAAAGCATACCTACTCTTCCTCTGCCAGGAGAAGGTATAAGTTGCTTGATAAGGTAATTTAGTTTTATGACCACTTAATTTATAGCAAGTTTGCTGGGTTTTTATGTAGTTTTAAGATAGGTTTGTGCTATTATGCTACCAGTGCGTTCCCCTGAAGAGCTGTGGGATCCATACTCAAAGTTCTCATAGCCCGACGTCACTGCAATTTTGGTTTGAGGCAAAAGAGAGACTCTCATCACCAACGGTAGGCCTGGCCTCCTAGTTGAACTAGTGGACTCAGAGATAATAAGCCTGGATATCATGTCGCATGATCCCGGGAAAGTAACCTAACCTCGGGTTTCAATTTCCATTTTAAGAACGTGAGAGTGGCACATCTGTTCAAATACTGTTTGAGGCTGCCGAAGGCTGAGCTTCCAACAAGAAAGATGCCATTGTAAATACCTGCTCTTACCCATGGGTGGGACACAAGGTTCTGGTGAGTGAAGAGCTTGTTAATGCAAGTCACACATACATAGCCAATTTTCAGGAAATGAGAATACTTGGCCATAAACAAAAGCCCATTTTGCCACTTCCTAATTCTGTAGCTTTGGAGGCTCAGCTTCTCGAAGCATCTGTTTCTTCATTTGTCAACTGGAGATGACAATAGCATCTATCTTATAGAGCAGGGGTTGGCAAACATTTCTGTAAAATTCCATATAGCAATTTTTTTTTGGCTTTGTGGGACCTATGATTTCCACTGCAACTACTCAACTCTGTAGTTCTAGTGGGAAAGCAGCCAGAGGCAATACATACATAAAAAGTCATGGATATGTTCCAATGAAAAATTATTTATAAATACTGAAATTTGGGTTTCTTTTAATTTTCACATGACAAAAATATTACTCTCCTTTTAATTTTTTTTTAACCATGTAATAACCATACTTAACGAGGGCCATACATACAAAAACAGGTGGCAGGTTGAACTTGCCCTTGGGCCATAGTTTGCCACTCTCTGTAATATACCTTCTGTAAGACTTAAGTGAGGTTATAGTGAGGGCTCAACAAATGTCAGCTAGTATCACCCTTATTACTATTAATTGTTGAGATGAAATACAAAGTATGATGACAACTATGTATGTATGTATAGAAATAAATGTGATGTGTTAACATTAGGATATTGAGATAGTAAGATCCAGCTTAAAAAGTTTCTTTTTTAAAAAAGAAAGCATAAAATTATATTAGAATTAAATATAATTTAAATAAAAACACACAACCCTAAAAACTGTTAACAATAATTATATTGACTATAAATTCTATTGATTTTTTTTTAAGAGAGAGTGGAAGAGAGCGGGAAAGACAGAGAAATACGGATGCGAGAGAAACACATCGATTGGTTGCAACTAAAGTACGTGCGGGGAGAAGCCTGCAACCGAGGATGTGCCCTTACCGGGATCAAACTCGGGTCCCTTCCGTCCACAGGCCGACACTCTACCCACTGAGCCAAACTGGCTAGGGCTATGCATTCTATCATCCTTTCACAATTCAGAGGGCTCTTTGGGTATTCATTATGCCAGGGGATCAATGTTAGGCATCGGTTACCACTGTATGAGACTATAGACATAAAAACCAAGACTGCAGGGTTAAATCTATGCAGACCTGATACCACACCTAAGAACCTGCTTTCCCAGTAGATCTACATTCTACTCTTCTTTGCCCTCCTTATCTGTGTGTTTACTGCTATAAACACACAGATAAGGCCACAATCTAATGATCGAGGTAGACAAACAAACAAACATGCCCAATACAGTACCACGTACAAGGGGAAAGCAGCAGGAACAGAAAGGAAGAGCGTCCAACACAGTCTGGAAGTGGATGTGGCTGTAGTTGGATTGTTAGAGAGCTTCCTGGAGAGAGAGATGGAGATGGAGATAAATCCTGAAGGAGGAGGAGAAGGAAGCCAGAGTGTAAGAAGAATATTCCTGATAAAGGTGCCCCATGGGAAAGGAACGTAAGGCAATGGCTGGAGGCAAGACAGAGCACTGAGGGATGATAGATATGGGAGGTGAGTATGGCTGGAGCATAGACGCTAGCAGGACAGTGGGGAAGATGGTGCTAGAGAAGCAGACAAAGGTCTGTAGACCCTATGTCAGCGACTTCCTTCTTGTGTGCCACAAGAATGTTTAAAACAAGCAATATCTGACTATTAACACAGGGCACTGACCTCTTTTCCCCTAGATTGTCAAATAAAAAAAATAACAGTTAACACAATAGCCATCTGATGTGAATGAATAAAAATTAAACCTATTTTTTTGGTCAGATCAGCAAAAAGATATTTTTTTGGTGTGCTGACGAATTTAATAATTAGTTTATGTGTACATGAGATGAAAAAGGTTGAAAGTCACTGCCATATGCCATCCTCGTGATTTAGGACTGTATCCTAGTCATTAAATCATCACTTGACTTGTAAGCGGCAGTTATTTCACAGTAAAATGATGAAAATGATGCCCACCTAGTAGGAGTAATGCTGGTGGGCGGGAAAGAGATAGTGTGTTAGGTCCATAGTATACTTCAGGATATACTTTATACTACTAAAACTGATCTATTAAAATTGTTTTGAAATAACTTTCAGATGAAAGGTATATGCTTTTCCATAAAGCACTGCAATTTCAAAACAATATCTGCATTTCATAGCCTCTAAGCCTTCAGAATTTTTGAGCTGACGATGAATTTCATGAAGGAGAATCACCATGCAGTCTAGTCTAAGACCGGGATGAAGATAATGAAATTATGCAGGAGTTAGAGCTGGGGAGGTAGCCTCCTAAAGGGCTCTGCATTGCAAGGCCATGTGGCAGCTATTCATTTGCTCTTCAAGAAAAGGTGTAGATAGAGGATCATTCTGAATGTTTTGTTTGAGAGTTCAAATTCCTACTTCAACATGTATCAAAACAATTATCACTTAAATGTTTTTGTTAGTGAGAAATCGATTCTAATGTGTTGATAAAACTATTTTTGGATTTGTGTTGCTTTTAGTTTGTGTTTATACTTCAATAAAAAAGAGTGATCTCTAATTCTTCAAATTTGGCCATGTTCTGATTCTCTATGACTTTCTAATTTGCTTTGAAAGGAAAGAGGTAAATGAAGTATGTAAATAGGGATAACAGTTTAGTCTTTGGATGAGAAAAGTTGTTTTTTTATTAATCATGGAACATGATTTATGTCAGATTATAATAAATATTTTCTTGAAAAAAATTGAATTTAAGCTAACAATTATTTAAAAATACATAATTGAAAGAACTCTTATGAACTCTTATACATAAATATTGGAAATAGAGGCCAAATGGCTAGGATCAGAAGCAAAAGTTACAGAGGTTAACTATTCTCCCAGCTTTACTTCTGTCATGCTAAGATTGCAATTCCTTTGTATTTCTTATCTGTAAAAGAGAGATTGTGCTCGTAATCCACAAATATCCAAGGTTGGAAAGTGTAATTTTATTTATTTGTTTTTTAAATTAAATATTTATTGTTGAAAGTATTATATATGTCCCCTTCTCCCCCTCCATTGGTCCCTTCTAGCCCACCCTCACCCTAACCACCTACCCACTCCTCCACCCCGTGCCCTAGGCCTTCATCATCCTAATGTCTGTGTCCAAGGGTTATGCACATACGCATACAAGTTTGGAAAGTAGAATCGTATATAATAAAAGCCTAATATGCTAAGTGTCCATTTGTCCAGTCGGCCATTCAACCAATCAAAGCATAATATGCTAATGATATGCTAAGGCTGCTCAACCGCTCGCTATGATGTGCACTGACCGCCAGGGGGCAGATGCTTTGACTGGTATAGGTTAGCTTGCTGCTGGGGTCTGGCAGATCGGGACTGAGTGAGATGGGCTGGACATGCCCTGGGGCCCTCCTGTGGTCTTTCCTTGGCTGGCCAACCTCCTGCATCCCTCCCTGGCCTCAGCCTGGCCTGCACCTTTTCACAATCCAGGCTGAGAGAGCCCCCCCGCCCTCGAGTGCATGAATTTTGTTCACTGGACCTCTAGTTTTAAGTAAATGCATTGATACATTCTGAGAGTAGGAAGATTTGGTTTCAGAATTCTAATGTAAATCTATCCCAGTTCTTATGGTCTCTGTTCCACAGGACACACTAGCTCCTGTTTCTCAACCATAGGGATTAATTACTACACCACATCCTTCAATTCTATGAGACTGTTAAGAAAGAAAGGCTGTCATGTAAGTTAATTGACCCTTGCACTGAATAATTTGCTTTGTTTTCTTCCCAATGGCAGTCAAATAGAAATGCCATGAAAATATAAAAAATTGATTTATCTTTTTAGGAGACCAAATGCAATATGCAGCAAGAGCCAAAACAATAAAAAGAACTTATTACCCTTTGACCCACTAATTCTACTTCTGGGAAGGAAGCAAACAGAGGCATTATACAGTAGAAAAGAAAAGCAATGGAAACAAACTTAAAGTGACCAGAATTATAAACTGACAAAGTATTATGCAGCCATTTATAAGGACACAAACAATGGTTGTGAAAATACATTATAAAATTTGTATAAAATAATGCTAAATACATTGTATATGCATATATTGATTGCAAAAGTACTTAAACTATGAATTTACATAATATTGAAGATGGGAATTCATGAGACATGTAGGAAGTATCCAGTCTACATTGTAGATGGTGTTCTTCTGAGTAGATGATTTTTTGGGGTAGTCTTTGAAACAGTAAAAAATGCTGCTGAGAACAACATATCACGTATGTTTTCTCAGTTTCTTTCTCTTTCTTTTTAAAAAATATGCCTCCCAAAGATGACCTGAACCTTGTACTTGTCCATTTTCTCTCTTTTTACTTCCAAAAGGAAATGTTTTCTTTTCCCCTGATAAACATGAACCTGTTTATTCAGCAATTGAACTTAAGATATTAGACCTTCAGTTACTCACTCTTTGATGCGCCTATGATGTTCCTTCTGCCGGAACTCATGGCCACTCAGGGAAGACACACTCCCCCCTTTCTTCAATGAACCAGCCATTCCGTCTTTAGCAATGTCTGCCATCACCATAACCTATGGAAGAGAACTTCGGTTAAAACAGCAGACGAAAGATCTGAAACCATTCTAGTCTCACTCAGATATTCATGCTAAATAAAGTACACAGATACTTTGTCTACCATTTTTGAACAGAGAAGTGGGGTTTCTTTAAGAGTGATTTTTAATGTATGATGTTATTCTGGTTAGTTCGACTGGACATATGATAACACTGATAACTTCTATTTACGCAGTAGTATACTTACTCCACATAAGCAGATATTAAACTGCAGCACATTGCTCAACTACTCTTACTTTAAAACTTAAAATTAATTGTCTTCCCCAAACGGTATTTTTTCCCCCCAAGCAACCATGATCGGCTTTGTAAAAAACAAACAGAACTTAACTTTTAACTCAGAATTTATACGAACACCTACCCCCCACAAATGCTTGTTTATTTTTCTTTGTTTTTTTTAAATTTCTTTTATATTTATTAGAGTGGCAATTACTCTGATAAATACTTAATTTCAATCACTCAACCTAAACTTTTTTTTAATCTTTTTTTTTTATTGCTTAAAGTATTACAAAGGGTATTACATATGTGTCCTTTTTTATTTTCCCCCCCCTTGACAATCCCCTGGCCTCCCCTACCCCCCAGTGACTTATGTCCATTGGTTATGCTTATATGCATGCATACAAGTCCTTCGGTTGAGATCAACCGAAGGAAAAATGCTTATTTAAACGCTGGTAGTAGGAACGGACTTCCCGGAACTTAGACGATAACTCTACTGCCCTACTGCCTATATACCAATTTAGATATTTATTTAAATTATTTTATACTCTGTAAACCTGAGAGCCCTAGCAAGGAGACACTGTGCCAGACACTAACACTGGTAGTTGAGTGGCTGGGGCCGACAACATCACCTCAGACCAGTGTGTCAGTGTCAGGACAGAGACAAAACGCACCGAAGGGCACACAAATATGGCAGAGGTGTACTGTGTGTTGGGAAGAGAGGCGGCGGTGTATATGTGTGTGCGATTGTGTGCCTGTGTATGAGGGTGCATTCATGAGTGTGAGCATCTTTGTGTAGGTACCTGTGAGTGTTTCTCTCTGTGGGCATGTGTCTGTGTGTGAGCTCGAGTCCTCGTGAGTGTGTGAGGCTGCATCAGTGAGAGTGTCTGTGTACATGAATGTAAGCATGTGCCTGTGTGTACCCGTGTGCATCTGTGTGTACATATGTGTGAATGAGTTATTTTCGGGGCGTACCTGAGTGAGTGGCTTTGTGAGTGTGTGTGAACCTTTGTGTGTAATGCGTCCACGTACGGAGTGTATGTGTGAGCTGAGTGCGAGCATCTGTGTGCGCGCATGTCTGTGGAGTGTCCGTGTGTGGACAGGGCTCACTGAGACTGATGAAGTGGCGCATTCAGGTTCCCACCCAAAGGGACACAGACCTGCGTCTGCTCACCTGTTTCCCACGCTGCCCGGAAGGCTCCAGTTGGAACCTGAGGGGGGGGGGGGGGGGCTTAGGGCTGGAGGGGGGAGGGGGAGGACGGGGGGGGGTGTGGGCGCCAGGCCGGGCGCAGGAAGACTGCTCAGGACTGGCCAGCTGTGCACTGGGCATCACCAGAAAGCCCAGATGCGCAGGTGGGCAGGTGACCAAAGACCAGAACCCACGTCCAGTTCCCAGATTTGGGGCCACTTTTTCTTATTTGTTTGGGGGAAGAGGAGCAAGGCGTCCAGAGAGGTCGTGGCCCAGGCAGGCTATTTCTCACCAGAGGGCCGCCTTCTGGGTCCCTGCAGCGCAGGACCCTGCGGTCGGTCCGCGTTTAGTCCTCCGGTCCCGCCCGCCCGGGTGCACCGCGCAGAGCGCGCACTTACCTACCCAGGGCCTCCCAGACCTCAGGCTCCCACGCGGGGAGGCTCCCTCCTCCCAGCCTCCGTCTGCCTGCAGCCTCCCTCCACTCCGCCTGGACTCCGCGGCTTGTCTCCCGGGTGACCTCCTCCAAACAGAGCCCTCCGCCCGCCCGCCCGCCCCGGGGCGAGGGTAGCTGCGTGGCCCCCTGAGCCGCCCTAAGGACATCAAGGGTCCGTCCTCCCTGCCCGAGGCGCCGCCCAAGCCCGGCTGCTCCCTGGAGGGGAACCGGGTCATGCTATTCGGAGGAGGACATCTGAAACCCCAAGAGTCCTCATCCAGGTCCTCTGCCGATATGACATGTCCGCGGCAGGGGTGGGAGCTGCGGAGCTCCCCAGGACCGGAAATCCGAGGCCAAAGGGAAAGTCAAGCAACCCCTTCCCTCACCCAGGCTCCTGCCGCCGCTCTGCACCGCCCGCTTGCAAGGCGCAGCTGGCTGAGGATAGGGGTCCTGAGAGCTTACATTTACCAGGTACTGGCAAACAGTTTTAACTTTATTGCTTTATTTAGGATTCCCAACAGCTGTGTCAAAGGCTTGCCCTTCCTTTACAGATGCAGAAAATTGAGATTCTCAGATACCGAACAGCGTGCCCAGGGCCCCCTGGGACTCATGGGCTTCTCCTCGACACCACTCTTCCCAGCTCCTGAAAGTGTAAGCAGCTTTGAAGTGGAGGTGGTTTGGGGCTGAGGACCTACCTGACGTAACTCATAGACCCTTTCTCCTTAATAACGACCCCCTTCCTAACTCCAGAACCCCCTCCTCAACCCAAAGCAAACAAGAGCGAACTCTGAGGGGATACTCAGTCATTGGGGGCACAAATAGGGCCATGCTTCTAAGCACCTCCCTGGCACATGCTGAGTGCGAAGTGCAGCTGGCATCAGCTGACAACAGCAATGCGCTGAGATAACAGGAGAGGCCCGAGGGCTACGGCAGTGTTTGAGAAAGAACATTAAAGTGTTCTGGCTCATTTCAGACCCTATTCACATAAGAACAGGAAAGGACTGCTTACTGAATATCTACTGGGCACAGGATAAGAAGGTTTAGGGGACTGATGAATATTATCTCATTTACTCTGTTCAATGACCTTATGATAAAGTGGCATTAGTAACTCCGTTTTTTAAAGTTTCTTTTTTTTTTTTAATTAAAATTGTTTTAGAGAGCGAAGAAGGGGGTGGGGGAGAGAAACGTCAATTTGTTGTTCCACTTATTTATGCATTCATTAATTGGTTGCTTCTTGTATGTGCCCCATAGGAGAGCCAATCCGCTGGGGTGGGGTGGGGAGGGGGGAGCAGGGAGAGCAGTGCTGTGCTCTAACCGGCTGAGCTACCTGGCCAAGGCCTCCATTTTTTTTTTAAGGAAATGAAGAATCGTTGATTAACATGCTCAAGTCTATTGTTAAATTATAGAGCTGGGACTTGTCCCACTCCAATGCCCTTGCACAGTGTGAGACGTTTTTCTCACCTTGCCCAAACTAAACCTGCAGTAAAGCTTTCTAAAAACGTGGGCAAAATTTTAAGAGGCTGGTAATAAAAGAGGTTCACGGCTGAATGTATTTTTATAGCTTTTATTTTTCAGGAAAAAGAAACCCCACATTTAAACATTCACTCAGATATTCCATCTTGTTCTCACATATAATTAAACTCTGTTCTGAAATGGGAACCTGACTTGCAGGAATGTGCATGATCAATAATTGCATCTTCAGGATTGGTAAAATGGGTGATGGGGAAAATTATGAAGGAAAAAGAATATTTGTAAAAATCATCATTTACGAAAAATGATATCCATACCTTTTCTAACTTATAAGGCAAGTAACGTTAAAATGTTCTCATGCTGATCTTCAGTAAGTCAACAAGGCACCTTCATGCCACTGTTGCTCAGGGGCGCGCTCTGCTGCGGGTCCTGGAGGGACAAGCAGGTGCTTCTTTTGCTGGCTTTGTCTTGAGCCAGCACAAAGCAGTGGGGCTTTATCACAGACAGAGCGGTAAGGGCTCTGGGAATCCAGTGTTCTTTGCTGAATTATTCAGGAGGAAAGAGCCAGGCATCAACATTTCAACTAAATTTAAAAAGTATTCGTATTTTAACCCACAATTCCTTGTATAAACATTTTATGCCCAAGGCATTTTGTGAAATTACATAACTGTAACAAGGTCATAAGTCCAGCTTATGTTTGCATCAATGATCATGGAGAACTCTAAATACAGGCTGCCACCAACTCAAAGTATAGTGTGTACTAACAGCATCTTCCTTAGAAAGACATTTGACTGAATTTTGTTACCTTTACAAACACAGCAAAATTTCTTTGAGATTCTTTCCCTAGTTTCTCTTATTGTTAAAAAAAAAAAATCATGCCTTACATTACCACTGTGTAGGCATGAAAATTAAAATTTGATCATTTTTTTCATACAGATCTTTTCCTATACAAAGTGAAGAATTAAAAAAAATTTTATAACCCAATAATATTCAAATAGTTTTAAAAGTCAGCTCTAGCAATTACTGCTCGCCCTGTAGTGGAGACCTGCCATAGATACGATTAGTATATCATCATACCAACACTTGGTTTTTCAAGAAAAAGTATTCAACAGTAATTTTCCAATTCCCTTAGAGTGTATGTGAGGGAGAGAGGGATCAGATAGGGGCCAATCTCTTTCATGTATACCCATTAAATAAAGCAAGACTAAATACTGGCCTGCAAAATTAACACAGCTGTTAGAATTATCATTCTAGCATCTCATAGGAAAAGGAAAAAATCTGACTTTGGACCTTGGAACATTGATTCCAAATGAGTCATTTGGTTCATTATCTAAAATAGTTTCAAGTAATGATGTATGAATAACACTAAACATTAGTTTTGAAAAAAAAGAAAATGCTAATGAAATAATATACAACTGAACAAGTGAGATGGAATTAACATTTGCATGATATAATCATTCATGAAATATTTGTAAATGACAAATAGCTTGTGATCTATCAAGCTGATTCACAAACTGAATGAATTAAAAATTGAATTACATTTAAAGAAATGTAATAATTCAGCTTTACTCTTTTCTGTCTGAAAAGTTTACTCAGGAATTTTTTTAAAGGAACTTTGTTAATTGTTTTGTGCAAAACAATTGATTTGAAAAATAACGGAAAGCAAGAAAAGAATTGTGAAATGCTCATTAATAGATTCATGATTCAATTTCTTAAAGCTGTTTAATAAAATATTACCAAAGATTGCTCACAAGTGTTAATTTCACTCTGCAAAGAATTTGCACCATCAAATAATGTTCTGATGTGGTCATAATACTTAAAATATTAAAACAATTGCATTATTTTGTTTTGAATATTTTAGGTGGTAAAGTTAAATTCACTATGATGTATTAATGAAATTTAAATTCACTTGAAATGTCAGGAATTTCCCTTAAAGTTGAAACAAAAAACTAGACCAACTATTCAAAGCCCTGCTGGTTATATTATTTGTAGTTGGTGAAAAATATGTAAACTGGTGTTAAAACTTTTCTAAATTTCTTCAAGGTGTTTTTAGGGGAAAAAAGTGTTATCCTGATCCAATAACTTCACCTTAAACTTCATTAGAACAATAGCATTTATTATCAATGCCCAAGAAGTGGGGACTATGGTGTAGAATCATTTATTCTCAGACCACAATGAACATTTGCCAGAACCAGTAGAACTGAACATGATTTGGAAAATACTGGAATGTTCTTATTTTCTTTTAGACATTTAGGAACACATAAAAATATATTTGCTTTTCACTGAAAACATCCTTTCTTTTAAAGTTACATAGACAATGTATCCAGAACAGGCAATGTATAACCTTAGGGATAGAAAGAGGTGATCAGAGATACTAGAAATCAAAGGAAAATACCCTTGGAAGTTAAACCTAGAGAATAAGTTATTATGCCCATGGTGAATGTCAACAAGGAGGTGACTTTCTCTCATAGAATACTCATGTAAGATACAAATCAGGTATTAAAAATAAGGGACAGTCAAGAGGTCTGCCCATAAATACTAAATTTTGACATTCCTTCAAGAAGGATGCTTAGATTTCAATTAGATATTAAAAATGCAACTGTAGCCTACAGAAGACAGAACATCAAAGCAATGACAAAAGAGAGAAGCTAGTGGGATTTTTTGTTTGTTTTGTTTTTAATATTTGGAGACTTAAGACATTGTATTCCTCTCTCATTCTTCCTCTATATATTTCATGCTCCAAAAGTAATGTAATGGTATCCATGTTCAATTCATGAGTGATTGAGTGAAATCTAAATGTTATTTGCCAAATTGGAAAAAAAAAAGGAGCAGGAAAATACAATAAAGCTTCAAGAGAGAAGTGCACACAGTAAAAGGGGGTAGAGTGGGTCATCAGAACAGTCCCTTTATTCAGTGTAACATGAATTGATTTGTTCACTCATATCAACAGTTTAATTTGATTCATTCCAAGGAATCATGTTTACTTGTAATATTAACTTTTAAAGCAATATCTAGAAATCACCCTCATTTTGATATAAAAAAATCATGCTTCTGTTTTTAAAAAATTGCTAATCAGAAAACCATGTACAAAATGAGAGTATTTGGACTGAATGTGATTTTGCTCCAATGCCTAATTTTTGGAGAAAAAGAAAGCTTAATAAAAACAAACCTACAAACCCGTTCCTTAGTCGATATCTGCATAGTCTATGGTGCCATTCAACTTTCCTTGATAGCCTTTGATTATTTTAAAGAAAAAGAAAGGAAATAAAAAGGATTGGTGCAATTTTTTCGTAATGACATTAGTCTGTGTTTATAAAACATTCAATTCAAAGGCCTACAAGACAAATGGGTTGACTTATAGGTTAGGTGTCTGAGTTTCCTTTGCAAGGAGGGAGACGTTAATTAAGACTGTGTGTTTGGGATGAACCACAGCTTGCAACCTCCTTACTGCTCCCTTTAAACTTTCAAGACTTTGAAGAAAAGGACAGAAACATGAAAATGAGAGAATGCATTTCAGGCCACTTTGAGACTGAGATAGCATAACAGGAGAGCTCTAAGGAAAAGAGGGATGTTCTTAGAAAAATCCACTTTATCTTTCTCCTTTTCAAGATTAGAAGAAAATTAAATGAGCTGAATGAAAAAAACAAATTCACTAGAAAAAATGATATTCAACTTACAATTTAGTATTTAAATTTTGATATAATGTCAGAGCTAAGAAGGACCTGAGAGATCTATTAGGGCAGTGATCCTCAAATTTTGGGTGCTTGTCAAAATATTTCTTTTTAAAAAAAATAAATTTTTATTGATGTCAGAGAGGAAGAGAGAGGGAGAGAGAGATAGAAACATCAATGATGAGAGAGAATCACTGATTGGCTGCCTCCTGCTGGGGATTGAGCCCACAACCCAGGCATATGCCCTTGACCAGAATGGAACCCGGTACCCTTCAGTCTGCAGGCCAATGCTCTATCCACTGAGCCAACTGGCTAGGGCTCAAAATACTTATTTTTAAACCCCATTTCTAGAGATTTCTTTAGTTAATATACATTTTTTTGGCACCTACTGTCTCTTAGGCTCCAGGGATATAGTTGTGATTAAGCCAAAATCATTGCCTTTTAAAATAAATAACACAAGTGGTCCACATATCATATTTTGAGAAACACATTTTTCCTAACAACTTTGCTACTGGAATTATCCTGATTTTGATACTAATTTTTCACAGCACCTTTACTTTGGCATTCAAATAGAATATGTATAGTACAATCAAACAGAAGAGTTTATGTTCCAGAAAGAGCAAGCAAAACAGGTCAGGGCTCCTTCTGCAGTCAAGATAATTGGGTTACTTCCAGTTGCTGTGTCTCTTTGGGCAAATTAGTGAATCTGTCTAGTCCTCAATGTCAGCATTTGTAAAAATAGGAATTCAAAAGAGTGCCTACAATTTGGAGATTGATATAAGGATTAAATGAGCTAATAGCTATAGTGACTAGTACATGGTAAGCTCTCAAGTAAATATCAATTTTTATTGTATGTCAGTTAATAACTATGATTGTACAAGTGTCCTTGTAAAGTCCCCCAAGGTGATCTATCTGAGTCAAGTAGAATCATGGAATTTCAGATGTGGAAGAAACTGTATAGATCATTGAGGCGTTGTTATGCTGTCGAATCAGTGCTGGGCGTCGCGGGGTGGGGAACCCAGATTTAAACCGCTGGAGAAACTCCTGCATTGTTTTGAGCTGTTTTGCCTAACAGGATTCCATGCACAATTCTAGTACAAAAAGTCCTGCTGTTAAGAAAAGCTTGAAAACCACTGGCAATCCAAATCCCTCATTGCAAAGAGGAGAAACTGAAAGAGCAGTGATTTGTCTAAGGTCACACAGCAGAAGTTAGCGTCAGTGTAATGCAGTTACATTACTAGAATTGTGCGGGTTTCTTTGAAAAGAAGAAATGAAAATATATTTAATTATGGCCTCGAATTATCTGTAAAGGTGGAGTAAAAATACACGAAACATTCGGCATTCTGGTCTGTTCTCTATTCACTTGAAACCATTGGAATGTGGACTTTCTTCCTTTATAGGTAAAATAGATTCCCAAATACCATGCAGTGAATTCCCACTTTGGCTGTAGGTATAGAGAAGAATAGAGCTTTAAAAATAATTTAAAAATTTAATCTTTAGGAATTATAAATTCCAATTATGATAAAATTCAGACTAATTCATAATGAGAATTTATTTTTAAAAACACCATGAAAATATGGAATTTATTTGAAAAGAAAAACATACTTTCCATTTTGCCAAAATAAAGCAGCATCATTCATACTTTCTATCTTGATAGAGCAGAACCTTTGTAACCATATTGCTCAGAACATGATGTTCTGGTTAACAAAACCCTTTCTTTTCATTTTAACCCATAGTATTGAAAATGTTAATATGTACTAGCTCATGTTGTTCTGCTTTAGGGATTGATAATGAACCCGACTTAATGTTTCTTTTATAACAGAGACTCTTGTACTGTCTTGGACCATTTTTTCTAACATGAATTCTTAGTGCATAGTACAATGGGTACAGGTGTAACAGGAGAATATAAACTATAAGAGTAAAAGAAAAACACCCAAACCTCCCTGATATGAGTTTGTTATTATTTAGCCTATTTTCTGAACTGAAAGAGATATATTCTCTTTTGAGATTCTGGTTATTCAAGGTTTAGTAACTCTGAAATCACTGACTTTCATTCTGTTTCACAAAGACTAATTAAGAGATCATAGAATATCTTCATTGTTCCAAATTTTAGTTTCTGGAAACATTTGAATAATGTTAGGGATTATTGTAATCTATGTTTTAAATTACATTTTTTACAATATCAACAAAATTATTCTTTTATTAACAAAAAGTCCTTGTGTTTAACTACCAATTCACTCCAGAACCAATTGAAATAAAATAAATATAAAGAGCAAGACATGAGAACAGTAATATTTACACATTTTAATATGCTTTGTGCTAATTTTCAATATGTTTTTTCACAAACTGATTACTTTAAACACATTTTTATATTTATATGCTGGATAGTTCTCTGTTTTCTGCAGTTTATTTTCCATTGGTTTTAGTGTTTGGAATTTCCCTATGTTTCATATATTTAAAAATTTGCATTCTCTCTTTCGGTTTCAAAATCAAATAGCATATCTTTACATAAAAAGAGTATATTAGTTATTTGTTTAAAAAACTTCAACACAAGACTTGAGAAGCCAATTGAGAATATCCTTCAAATGCAAGGCAGCTCACTGTGAACATCCTCTGAGTAACCAGCACTGATAGAGAAGTACAAACACCAATTTAGAAAGTTCCACTGTGAACTACTGCCAGTCACAATCTCATTTTAAGAGTAAGATTCTAAAACTTAAAGGGGCTCAAAATTCTTTGTCTAATATGAGTAAATGTAAAGTAAAATTTAGCAACTAATGATAAATAAAACAACTTATAATTACAGTTATTTAACAGTATAACCTAGAACACGAATTTGCCTATGTTTAAAATAAGCTCTATGACTTGAAGGAAGACTTGTGTTTTCAGATCAGAACGAAGGAAGGTTTTATAACTGGGATCCCTGAAGAAGTGCTTCTCTATTCTGAATTCCCTCATCGTGAGGCCCAACTGAGTACTTGAAGTTTGTATTATACCTTGCAACAATAAAATAATAACATTTTTATAACTCTTTTTGATTCCCCCCAGAATGGCAAAGATTTATAGTTTCATACAATGAATTTTATCTAAAAGGACTTTATTACACAATTATGTGGAGAGAATTTCTTTGATAAAGCTTATTTTTTTCCTTCCCAAATATTATAAATGATTGTGATTAAAATTCTCCTTCTGGATTTAAATAGGGGACAAACATTTTTTTCTGAGATTTTTGGTCTCAACATTTTGATTGCTGTGGGTGAAGAGGAAGATGCATGGCACCGGTCTCCATGCCCGGTGGGAGGAACTCTCTGTTGAGAGTAACTGTGCAAAAGTTGCGAACCAGCTCAACTATGGAGAGTCTTGAAGTTTTAAAATCACAATTTTTGTTTTAGTCTGACTGGATTATTCAACAATCTCTACATTTGCTAAGCTGTAGAGAGAGGGGAAGTAGTTAAGACGTCAATATCTTCTTTACTTGATTATAATTTCATATACTTAAACTTTAAATATGAATTGCTTTCCCTTTATACACAAGTTATAAAAATAAGAGGCCCTGTTTACACAGTTTGCATTTTTATGAAATTTGCAGTTTGAAAAAAAAGCTTGTTTAAAAAGTGGTAATTAATGCTTTTCTTTGAATATGCTGTAACCTTAGAATGTTTTTCTGAAATAGTTTCTGAATTTAACCCACTAAACATTTGAAGATAGAATTTTTTATTTAGCACTAGAATAAAACATACTAAGAACTGAAAAAAAAGTTTTTTTTCTGGTTCCACTTAATTTCCTTTGTATGTGGCACCCCCTTTGTGATAGCTATCAATATTATATTTAAATTTTATATATTGACAAAATTCAACCTACCTCTGTAAGTGCTGTGCCATTCAACAGTACTACTATTAAATTTACATACCACAGTTTAAATTACATCCATTTCAGGAGTGGTAAAATGCTAAAACTCAAGTGTCTAACTGCTTTACTGGAATGAGTACAATTTACAAATACAATAATTACATTTTTAAAACCATAACAATATTACACCTAGAAGTAAATACTGTAGGACTGGTCATCATGGTATTGTGTGAGGGAAATCATTGCTGAAAAGTCATGGGCATTTCCAGCAGGTTTATCCCAAGTGCAGATTTTGATTTGTTTTCATCAAACCCAAACTGAAACCTGTTTCTCATACAACAGTTCTCCATTATGTGAATCTTCTGAATCCTTGCACAAGATTTTATTAGTTGTCTGCCAAGTATTTTCCTGTAAAACAAAACAATATACCAGTAGGTTACCTACTATATAATAATCAATAAGGTGATTATTAAATGGCTAACATTTCTATTCCTCCTACATTAACCCTAGGAGCCAAATAATGCATATTTGATGGGTGAAATACTAATTATAAGACATCATATTTTTGGGGTTTTCAATTTTCCAGACCAGCTAGTGGCCTTTTCACATTTCCATATGTAAACATTTTTCACAAATTTGGGTTTTGCTCAGAATAGGTTGGGAGATTTGTTTCTGGATGTGAGAATCCATCTTATTGTAGGAAGAATTGCCATATAATTACTTTCCAATCTGGGTCATTTCTGAGAGTGAAAGGAGTGTAATTAGTAATTATATCATTACAGCCGGCATAAAAACCAGAACTTATCCCAACAAATCATTGACAGGTATAGTCACCCCGGTACTGGGGAATCCCCTGCCAACAAACGACCTTGTGGGCCCAAAACCCATCTCGCGGTCACATCGGCTCATGGGCAACAAGGTCCAATCTCCGAGGTAGAGTCCTTACGGTTGCTGTTAAAGAGGGAGATGGAGCCTCTTAAATCTCAGCTAAGCCTGACGAGTCTAAAATCTATGAAGACTGGAGAAAAGTTTTCAGGTAAGAAATACATTCAAGGCAAATGACGTTTACTTTGCTTGTCAATATAACGAAAGTAGGATTTACTTCATTAACCTCAGTATACACATCTATATAGTGGGAATGATTAATTAGTGCCACCTAAGAAACAGAGCCAGAGCCAGAGCCATGATAAGTAGCCAGGGCTTTCCTAATTTCTAATTTCAGTCCACTGTCCAATTTTTCCTTCATTCAACAGTTGGTTTGCTTTCTAATTGAGATAGGAATTGAGGGCTGGGAGGGGAAAGAGGAGTAGAAAAAAGATGAGGAAATCAAAACCTTTTTCTTCAGAAGGAAGAGTTGCTGAGGCAACATTATTTTTGCAAATGAAACTCACAAGACACACACTCACCTGCAGCAAACCTTTTTTTGATGAGTGAAAATCGATAGCCTGCTCCAACAAGTTCAATGTCACAGCCAGAAAGGGTGCTTCCTTCACTTGTAAACTGCACAACCAATGGGGAAGGTTTGCTTGGGCCTTCAGATAACTGAAATCTTGCCAATAAAGAACCCACACCTATGAAAAAAGTATTATATAATTGCAAGACAATAGTCAACACCACATTCTGGGTTTAATTTTAGAAACTGTATTCAAAATTAAATAAACAAAATCTAACTTATCAGAAAACAGTATATGTTCTAATATGGTGATTAGATTTATCATTAAATATGATGAGTGACTCCTACTGCATGTAGATTCAAGTGTAATTCAGCCAAATAGTATTAAAAATTTTGGAAGTATGCTACTCAGAAGGCAATGTATTCTCCAACCTATGATTGATATCAGAGGAAAGTAAAAACCTATCTAAACTATCAGAGAGTGTGAGATATGATACAGAGTGGAAATATGCCTAATTAAAAGCTCTTTTTTTTAATGCTGAAAATATGATCTGTTTGATGTGGGTTTGAGGCAGAAAAGGGGAAGCAGAAGATTCATTGACGAATTACTTGCTTTTATTGGTTGAAATACACATATGCCAAAATGAAGTGACATATTTTGCTTGCTTTTAGTATAAAGTGTATTTTGGTTAAGAGTTACCTGATACCTGCAAATGATTTCAGCCTCAGATATTAAATAAAGTAAGCCTGTGATGACATTACCTCCATTTTCTGACTTCTGAGAAATATCGGGAATTTTCCACAATATTCTTTGTTGTTCAGCATTCCTAAAAATAAAATTGGTAAAAGACTTTTGCATTTGCAAGGTTTTTTGTTTAATAGATGCCCTATTTTTTCCAGATAGTGTTAATTTTTTAAAAAAGGATTTTGAAGATTCCAGCTACAATTTAAACATTATCTATCTGTTTATCTATCTATCCACATATAAATTCTCTCCTTTCCTGTTCCTTATTGTAACAGGCTACAACACTGTCAGACAGATAAATATTTAGAGGACAATACGGTTACGGTTTTTAAACACATCTACTGAAAAGATAGATGAGAAGGGTCAGCTCATCAGTTCAGGCCATTTACATTGGAGCTGTTATATGGCTGGCATTCATTTTTAAAAAATGTTCCATTTTCTGCTTTTTACAATCACGTGGGAAACCCAGAACATTTTTCCTAGGAGCTGCCATTGGTACTCAGTGCCTATTCAGTCTCTGTTCCCAGAGGCTACAAAGTGAAACCCTCCACCTTCTCAGGCTCCCTTGTGTTTAGGGCCCTGGGTGCAGATTAGACTTCACCAGTCACATGCACTGCGTGAGCTCTGGAGAACAGGAGGGAGAGAGAGGCCTTTCTCCTGCTGCTTTCTTGGCTGTTTTCTGCTGCCAGCAACCTGAGATGTGGGGATCCGACCGCAACGCTCCAGTCCAGCCTGCAGTTTTGTGAGTGTTGAAAGGCAGTTAAGCTGGTAGGAACTTTCTCATCCTTCACCAGAGTGACAGTGGGTGTTCTTGAATTCAGTGGCTGCCCTGGCAGCCTCCTGATGTTCCTTCTTGGTTATGGCCAAGGCGAGCAGCTCCTCTGGCCGGCCGATGCTACGTCTTCCAGGAAACATTCCTGGAGACCCAGCCTAAAGCTTGTTTTTCTAGCACTTCCACCATGTACGTGTGGGCATCTAAATCCCTGTGCTAAACCATTTTCTGCTTAAAATAGCTGCGGTGGTTTGTTTCTTTCCCTGAACCTGACACACAGGCCTGCTGTGGTCTCCAGGAGGAAACAAATGCTAAGAAGTCTGGGGTCCCTCTGTCCAGAGGAGCTCTTTGGGGAAGCCGAAGGGGGTTGGGGCTCCTTACCAGACTGCCGGGGGGAGCACGGCCTGGAGCTTGGTTACTCCTCCGTCGATGGGGACCAGGAACTGCACATTGTTGAGGGCCACCGCGGTTGTCATTGCATCCGTATTGTATTTGTAATCTATGCGCAGGTCGGTGCTGGTGGGCTCACACCGCCAGTTCACTGCCAGGTTCAGAGGTGTGGACTGAATGCCCTGGGCGGACACCTTGCCAAATGACAGGAAAGAGAATAGTTAAGGCTCCACCATTAATCAGAAACAAGCCAGAAGCTAGGATTATCTCCCATAGGAATGTTCTTAGACATCAAAACGTCGTGCTGTTAGTGCCGCTCACGGATGAGCTGTCAGTGAAAATCACCATGAAGGGTGCCATGTGAGGGAGAGCTGGTGCTTCGGGGAAGTTGTTTTTTGTTAAAAAACAAAATCAATGATTAAACTCTCTAGTACTGTAGAGTTTAGAATACACTTTATGTCAGTTAAGGAGGTGATAGAGCACTGGTTAGGGGCTGAGGCCCAGGAGTTAGACAGGTCTGGATGTGAGTTCTCATTGCCAGTTACAAGCTGAGTGATCTTGGACCAGTTACTAAACTTCTCTGTGCCTCAATTATATCCTCATCTGCCAAATGGGAATGATAACAACAATATTTACCCATAGAGTTGTTGGGCAGATTGAAGATGTTCATGGGAAACACTCAGCAAAGGGCCTGGCACAGAGTCAGTGACCAGTGCTTTAATTCATGTGCCCTATTGATATTCTTATCATATTTGCCCTTCACAACAAACCAGTGAGTTAGACAAAGGAGGTTATTGTTACTCTTTTCGGATGTGTCAAAATAAGGACTTGGCCCTCTAACTGGAAGTGCAGCATTCAGCTGTCTTCTTTCAATTCTAGTTAGAATCAACTGTGAGTCTGACCAAGGAAAATCCAGGTTTGAAGAATCAACTAAAATATATTTTACCTAAAGCCAATAATATAAAATTGAGTTTTAAAGGCCCAGAATGAAAAAATTCACAATGTTATTATTCCTTGATTGTTCAATGTGACAACGAATAGCTCTAGGAAATTCTCCTTTTCTAAGTATGTCACCCTGCAGGAGCGATGGGGTGGTGTCTATGCCTTTGCAGTTTGATTCATGGAGTGTGAGTTTTGCTGATTTTGAAGACTATAAACAGCTCTTTATTGACTGTGCAAGGTCTGCACATATGGACACTATGGTGAAGCGGCCTGAGGCAGAAGTGGCTGCTGCAGAACCAAGCCCAGAAATGTGTTGTTTTTTAAATAAAATGACAGGCATGGCTTTTGAGGACAATTTCAGTTAGATAATCATTATTATGATTTTTTAAACTTTAAATATTTTTAACAACACAATCCTCTGCAAATGAACTTTTACTTAAAAATCTATCAGTTAAGATAGATCAAAAGCGGTGTTTCTGCACTCTGTCCGCAGCAGTTCCAGCTTCATAGTGTGGTTCTATTCAGCCAGGTGCTTGTGGCTAAGTGAGGGTGTGTTTCTGATTGTCCTTACTATTGGGGGATGATACTGGTGACCAGAAACTAAACATGCTGCAATTTGAGGGCAATCCCACAAAAAACACTAGTTGTGCCTCCCACCCAATTCCTTGCATAATTGAAAACAACACAATTCAACAAGAGATTTTTCAGAGCACACTTTAACACAGAACAACAGGCCTAGGGACATTTACATTTTCCAAAGTACTTTGAACTATAGTAAGCTCCTCATACAGCCTATAAAATATCCAGGTAGGAGTCATTATTATCTTTAATTGTAGATGAGGAAACTGAGGTCCAGGGAGATGAAGTGCCCAAGGTCAGTGGCCAGTAGGAAGGTGACTTAATTCCAGAATTCAGTTTCTTGCCAATGTTATATTTATACACTAAACTCATATTGCAATAGGTGAGTCTATCTATTTTCTAGGTTCACTTAATGACAAATATGAAGAATTTAAAAATTTCACAGGATTTAAAATTTCAAAAAAACAATTTTAATTTGAATTGAAAATGTAGATGCAGGATTTGTAATGAAAGTTCATGAAAGAAAACAACTACAGTTTTAGTTTTACCCTCTTGGGCATAAGAACCATGCATGTGCCCCAGAATTTAACTTCCTATTCAGGGAAAAATTACATTGGAATGTCTTTTTCTTAACTCCTTTAATTTCTCTCAGAATCTTAAAGCAATCACTAAATACATTTAAATGCTTTGGGAAAAAGTTAAATGAAAATGCATTTTATATTATCTTTTTAAAAAATTTTTTATTTTCTTGTTTAAAGTATTACAAATAGTAGTACATATGTCTCCTCCCCCCCCCCCCCACCCCACTGACCTTCCCCTGGCCTCCCCTACTCCTCTGCACATGCCCTTACCCCACCCCTCCAGTGTCTTGTGTTCATTGGTTATGCTTATATGTATGCATATAAGTCCTTCGATTGATCTCTTACTGCCCCCCTCCACAACATTCCCAGCCTTCCCGCTGCACTTTGACAGTCTGTTTGATGCTTCTCTGCCTCTGTATCTATCTTTTTGTTCATCAGGTTATAATGTTCTTTATTTTTCATAAATGAGTGAGATCATGTGGTGTTTTTCTTTCACTGCCTGGCTTATTTCACTTAGCATAATGCTCTCCAGTTCCATCCATGCTGCGGCAAATAGTAAGAATTCCTTCTTTTTTATAGCAGCGTAGTATTCCATTGTGTAGATGTACCATGGTTTTCTAATCCATTCATTTGCTGATGGGCATTTAGGCTGTTTCCAAATCTTATTATCTTTTAATTATAAAAGTGATGAATTTCTGTCATGTTGTGTGTTTGTTTAATATTATCTATATATATAAAAGACTAAGTGACTGGCCAACTGGCCGACCATTCAACTGACCAGTAGCTATGATGCGCATTGACCACCAGGGGGCAGACGCTCAACGCAGTAGCAGAAGCCACAGGCATGGAAACATGGAACAGACTGATGAATCTCAGAGCGAGGGGAGGAGGGGGAGGGCGGGAAGAGATTAACCAAAGATCTTGTATGCATACTAGAGTCCCAGTGCACGAATTTGTACACCAGTGGGGTCCCTCGGCCTGGCCTTCGGGGATGGGGCTAAAACTGGCTCTCTGACATCCCCCGAGGGGTCCTAGATTGTGAGAGGGCACAGGCTAGGCCAGGGGTGGGCAAACTTTTTGACTCGAGGGCCACAGTGGGTTCTTAAACTGGACCGGAGGGCCGGAGCAAAAGCATGGATGGAGTGTTTGTGTGAACTAATACATGTTAACACTGCTGCTGGTGAAGAAGCGGAGGGGAGAGCAAGAGAACCCTCCGCTCTTTTGGCTCCGCACGCCAGATAGAACAGCCGAACGGGCCGGATCCGGCCTGCAGGCCGTAGTTTGCTCACGGCTGGGCTAGGCTGAGGGGCCCCACCAGTGCACAAATCCATGCACTGGACCTCTAGTTGCTAATAAGCTTAGATAATCCAATTCTTACAGAAAAAACATTCATTTGCATTTTTGTAAAATGTGCCATCATATATATATATATATACTTCACTTTCAATGGTTTCCTTATGATATTATGAGTGCTTTTCAACCTATAGGGTGCATTATAATCATTTGGAGAACTTGAAACAAATACAGATATCTGGGTCATATCCTAAACCAATTAAGTCAAAATCTCTGGGAGTTTCAGGGCCCAGCAGATGTCTATGTCTGTATCTGTGTCTATATCTCTATGTCTATTTCTATATTTTCAAATAGATTTTAATGTAGGTGTCTATGTATATCCTATATAATAAAAACCTAATATGCTAAGTGTCCAGTGGTCTGGTTGTCCATTCAACTGATCAAAGCGTAATATGGTAATGATATGCTAAGGCCGCTCAACCGCTCTCTATGGCATGCACTGACCACCAGGGGGCAGACACTCAACACAGGAGCTGCCCCCTTGTGGTTATTGTGCTCCCACAGGGGGAGCGCCACTCAGCCAGAAGCCCTGAGCCAGGTTCATGGCTGGCGAGCGCAGTGGCAGTGGCCGGAGCCTCTCCCGCCTCCATAGCAGTTGGACATCCCCTGAGGGCTCCCAGAATGTGAGAGGGTGCAGGCTGGGCTGAGGGCCACTCCCTCCCCCCAACTGCACCAATTTCGTGCACCAGGCCTCAAGTCTATATATACTAGTAATTACCACAAGTTCAGAACTAGTATTCATTTACAAATTCTCTGGTGATTATAGATTTATGTTTAAGATGCACCAATTTCTAGTAAAATACAACTTTAAAAATAATATTTTTCCCCATCTTAAGAAAAATAATATAAACATATTTAATCACAAAAATTATAATACATTAAAGATAACCTAGGTGATCAAGTGGCTGGGAATTGATAGGGTACTCAGGCTGTACAGAATCCTGGTTTGAAAGCTTATTTACTAAGCCAGTAATAATTTGGGAGGAGGGCAATCCTGGAGAGAAAAAGAAAATTCTTTTATACCATATTGTGTTGTACCAACCAGTCTTTTAACATCAAATTATTTCTTATCATGAATTTTACTAGAATTTATTTCATAGGACTACCACATTAGGAAAAAAAACACCAGAGTACTTACATTTAATAATTTAAAATAAGAGGTTTTAATATAGTAATGTTCTTAACAAAATACAGTGAACAAGTTTATCAAAATTTATAATATTCACTGACGTAATTTTCTGCAACTTCATTCTGTGGCATGTTTTTCTAATATTTAAATAAAATATTTTACTTGTAAGTTTAAACTAAGAATATGTATGAATATTCTTGTCACCAAGTCTGCAAGTAGTCTTTTAAACTTTCTATTTTCTTATAAGTATAGCTTTTAAATAATATTAAAAGAAATGTTATTTTATTTACTTTTATTTAATGCTAGGTATGTTAGAATATACATTTGTAATGTAAAAACCACCCCCTGGCCATATAAATAGGCTTACCTGATATTTAAGCATGTCCACATTATAATATGTAGCCTGGGGTTTTTGTTCAGACACTTTCTTTAGGTGAGTCATCAAATTTGGCATGTTTACCCAGAATTCCTTGCTATTGGCATCACTTTGGGTATTATCGCTATTCAATTGGGAAGAAAAAAATGATTATCATCTTGACATAAAGAATCATCTTAGCAAATTGCAGTCTGATTTCTACATCCATCTTTGACAATTTGTAGATTATATTATTAACAGTAGTATGGTTTCAATTCAATTGCAGTTCTAAATGGTATTAAGTTAATAGATTAATACCCATAGGGAGGCATTATTGTAGTTTTATAAATCTCAGTGAGTACCCAGTAATATTAACCAATCATAATGATAATTGGTTGCTTTGAAGAGTGAATTATTTATTAATCCAAACTTAATAGCTCTTTCTACATCACCAGTTTCCTCTGACTTAGACAGTTAATGCAATCAAATAGCTGAGTTTATTGGTTTTCTTTTTTTTCTTTTTTGGTATTGACTTGAACAGTAGTTTCTCAGAAATTACTGAGTTAAATTTTTGGCCAAATGTCTTTGTCGTCAACTGCGGAAAAAAGGGTGATACTAGAATTACCATGCTACCTTTTTAGCATTCACAATATATCACCTAAGAGCATCTAAGTCATAAAAAAGTCACTTTTCTTACAAGATGACCCTGGAATTTAAATGATAATTACCATGGTAGTTACAATAGACAAGCACAGTCTTGATGAACTGAGGAGTTTGTATTCTTATGAGAAGCATTAGCTTTGCTCAGGTGCCTGCCCACAGGTGACCCACCTGATATATCTTGAAAATGCTCTTCTCAATGACAAAAAAGTCACATAAGAGTGTGAAAAGCATTTGCTCACTTCCCACATAATGAGGAAACTGAGAACCCAAGTGATTCAGAAACTGGACATACAACTCAAGTTTAATGACATTTCACTTTCAGAATATTCTACGTCAAACAGTAGATATAATTTTCTGAGCACCTATTATGTGCTAGGCACTCTGTTAACATTTCATTAAAATCTATCTGTAAAGGAAGAATTACCTTCCTTTTTAAGGATGGGCAAATGTTATAAAAGAGAAAATTAGAGATTAAGAAGACAGAAAAGTGGCAGTGATAATGTTATAAAGGCAGGTCACAAGTAAGCTGGCAGAAGTCTAACAAGTCAGAACAGCTCAGTCAAAAAATCATCAGAGCCTTAAAACTGCTACTGCTCTGTTGAGAGGGAGTAGTTTGGGGGGGGTGGGGAGCCAAGTCTCAGCATGACCTATGTGGTTCTGCTGGGCCCTGGTCTGGGTTGTTGCTATATAACTCGGGGCATGTAGGAAGAGAATCCTGGCCTCCTCCGAGACTTTGCCTCTAATCAAGCTGAGGTAAAGATGCTGATTCAGGCTGTTTACTAGTAAAGTTTTATTATCTAAAAACATTCAAGTTACCTAGAGCTTCCAGAGCTGTCGCTACACAGCAAGGCAGCAGATAGTAATGGAGGGTCAGCAAAATTAAGTAATTTGCTTAAGTTGGAATAGCTAATAGGTAAGAGAATCAGGATTCCAGCCCAGGTCAGTGTTATTGTAGGTCATACTATCACACTATACCAAACAGAGGCACTCAGTTGCTACCCAGCAATGTCGATATAATTATGTTTCACAGAAAAGGTTTTCATGTTCATGTGAAGAGTAACGCACAATTCAAATATCATTTGACTTTAAAGATGCTACTACAACAACAGCTTATTCCTTTTATTGGGTTCATTTTCCACCATCCTTAGCCATTGTCTACTGATGATAAGTAAAATGGACAATAAATAAATTGTCACTAATACAGATTTTATTACTCTAAATCTCTCTCCAGCCACCTGAGATAGTTGGCCATTAAAATACGTATGTGCACAGATGTACAGTCAATCACAAAAAACTTGGACAGCTGTAAAAGTTCTGAGTTTGAATCTGCACACATATCTGAGCAGCAGTAATTGCTTTACAGTGTTACTTCCTTGCTAAGGTTTATCCCTCCCTTATCTGAGAATGAAGTGCTAAGCTACACATATCTCTAAAAAAATTGTGCAAAATATATTTACCAGCAGAGAAGTTGGGGATTTGGCAGGACGTGTTCTAACCTGCTGAAATTTATCACCCGGAAAGTCAGGGCAGCTGGCGATGGGTTGTTGGCAAAATGTCTGGTGATGCCGGCAGGGAAGGACAACACCATTTCTCCAGTAATCTTCACAATACATCTGGCATATCAAAACACATGAGAGGAAAGAGAGGAAGCACAGATCAGTATGCTGTGAATCAAAACAGTTGTGAAAAAGAACAGGTTTATGAACAGATGAAAGGTAAACTCTTGCAACTCCTCTCAATATAAATCATTTCTAAGACTCAATGGTTTGTTTTAACACTTATCCAAAAAATAGAGTGGCTATTCCACTGAATGTCTTTTTAAACTGGAAGAAGTACAGCTTTTCTTTTGTAGAAAAGTCTACATGTTCCCCTCACAAATAGAACCATCTTATTTTGGTGGTTCTCTCTCTCTGATTTCTGAAGTTTTGACAGCATAGGCAAAGATATTAAATTGCACAATGTTATCACATTTTTCACTGGGACTTATTTTAGTTCTCCGAGGGACATGATTGATGCATTGAGCATGTTCTTTCATGTACCCTTGAGGTAAACTTAAGCTTCCAACTTAACAAATCTGCATTCCATTAACTTGTCTACTTGGTTGAAATTGTTACATCAGTTAACACAGGAGTTCACACAGTAGGATGATAATTTGGAAGGAAGAATTTCTTTTTTTAAAGCCTTAATTGAGGAATAATTGACATATAATTATATATAAACTAGGGGCCAGTGCACAAATTCGTGCACCTTGAAAGGAACTGTGGGCCGTGAGGCTGCAGTGGACAAAGGGGTGGGTCTCGACCCATCTTCTGTGCCCCTGCACAGCCCCTCCTGCTGCATGACCCCCGGTCCTCTGTCTGCCAGCAATCCTGCTCCTGCTGCCACTGCTCCTACGTGCCGATGGGACCAGAGTCAGGCACCGGCAGCAGGTGTGAGTGGCGGCTCTGGCATCAGCTGTGGGCGTGAGCAGGGCTGGTCCCAGGCACCAGCAGCGGGTGTGAGCAGTGGCTCTGGTGCCAGCTGTGGGAGCAAGTGGGGCGGATGCCAGCAGCAGGTCTACATGCTGGGCAGGACCACGGAGCACGGGAGCAAAGAATTTTCAGTAACCACCAGAGGCTCGCCTTGATGACAGCAACCAGTGTTACGCCTTGGTCTGCCACCCCGCTCACCTGCTCCGCTGCAGCCAATGGCTGCCATGTTCTCTGTGCGCCCCCTGGTGGTCAGCACACATAGCGACCAATTGTTCGGTTGTTTGGTTGTTCCACTGTTTGGTCTATTTGCATATTAGCCTTTTATTATACAGGATGACACATTTATGGTATAATATTCCATAATTTTTGACATAGTATACACCCCTGAAACCCTTACACATTCTAGATAATGAACATATCCAACATCCCTACATATTTTCCCATGAATCTCTGTATCCCTCTTTCCTGCCCTTCTCCATCCTTCCATTCCTCGTCCTTAGGCAGTTGCTAATACGCTTTCCAATACTATACACTAGTTTGCACTTTCTAGAATTTTATATAAACTGAATCATAAAGCATGTGATTTTTTTTGGTCTGGCTTCTTCCACTCAGCATAATTATTTTGAGTGTCATTCACGTGGTGTGACCATCAATAGTTCCTGACTTATAATTGCTAGGTAGCATATGGATGTACCATAGGGTTTTAAAAAAACCCATTCACCTTTAAATATTTGAGTTCTTTCCAGTTTTGTCCTATTACAAATAAAGCTGTGATGAATATGTGTGAGTCGCTAAATGGATATCTGCTCTCATTTCTCTTGGATACATACACAGGAGTGGAATCACTGGATCACATGGCAGGTGCACCTTCAACTTTTTAAGAAACTGCCAAATTGTTTTCTAACATAGAAAATACAGCTGTATGAGTTTCAGTTCTACACAGGCTCACCGACACTGGCTAGGGTCTGTCTTTTTAATTTCTGCCATTTTAATGAGTGATCAGTGGCATCTCACTGTGGCTTTACTTTCATTTCCCTAATGGCCAATGAACTTTATCATCTTTTCAAGTGCTTTTTTGTTATCAGTTAACTACTTTGGTGAAGTATCTGCTCAAATTTTCTGCCAAGTTTTTAATTTGAATTTCATGTTCTTTTATAAATTCTTTATACATCTTTTGGATACAAATCACTTATCAGATACATGCTTTGCAAAGATTCCTCCACTCCCCCTTCATTCCCCTCCCCCCTCCATTTGTGGCTTGTTTTCTTATTCTTTCTCTTAAGAGTACCGTTGAAAATAAGTTTTAATTTGTCAATTTATTTTTTACAGGTTGTAGCTAATAAATTTATTCTTTGAGGGGCCTATCTTTGCCAAATACAAGTAACAGAAATTTTCCCTATATTTTCTTCTAGAAGTTTCTTATTTTTACATTTAGCTTTATAATATATATTTCGGTCAATTTTTGTATAAGATGTGAGGTATGGATCCAGGTTCACTTTTTTTTTTAACACTTAGAATATTTCATTGACTTTAGGTCAGCAGGGAACAATTACCTGCATTTATACTTTTTAAGATACTTCACCTCATTGAAAACCAAGACAAATATTACATTATAGATGTGGGACTTTCATGTGTTTGCTGCTCTGGGTTGAGAAAATGTCCATCTCTTTCCTACAATGTGTTTCAGGCTTACAGATCACCAACAAAAGGTGTATACCCCAAATTTCCACTTGCTGCCATTGCCTTCTGGCCAGAAATAAACTTCTTGGTAGCATTTTTGACATCAGCGTCAGCTATTGAGCCAATCTGCTGAGGGCCTGTGAATGGTGGCACATACGAGCCAGCGGTGAGAGCCCAAGACCTGACTTCATCCAGGAAGCCTTCAGAAGACTCCACTGACATTAGGTACCCAGCTTTCAGCCTGTTCTTGGCAGCCTGGACATCTGGGCTGGAAAGGTTTCCTTGAGCAATTGCTTTGACTTGGTTGTAGGCAGCCTTGATAACATCTCCAGCAGCTGCAGCCTATGAGATAGCATAAATCCCAAAGAGTCCAGAATCCAAGTAACTGGCATTAAAAGCAGAAACATCAAATGGCTAGTGAGTCCCCTTGGCAACTAGTGAGGGCTGGTGGCATTGCTGCCCCGCTTGACATGTGGTCCGGCGCTGAGGACATGCTGGAGAATGCTAAATGCATTTGCTTCTGCACTTCCTATGGCAGCACTTCCTGCTACAAAGGCAGCATGAATGAGACTGTCTCCATTCTGCTCTCGAATTTCACCTCCATGTATCTGGCCTTTGCACCTGATAAACCAAGCCCACCCCTCATGTTCAGAAACCGTTCAGCAACTTGCTTCAGAACAGGATGACTCACACCAAGTCCAACCAAAGCCATTCTTGCACTTGTAAAATGGTTCTGAACATAGTGATGTAACTCATCTGGTGTCACTTTTCCGATCCTATAATCAGGACTATACAAGGAGTTAGCCAAGGCATTTTGGTAGGCTGCAGCATGCAGATTTCCAATGATATGAGCCTGTGTGCTCTGAAGAGCCACAGCGTTGTCAATCCTCAGCTGAGACCGAAGGGCAGCCACCTCCCAATGACGAAATTCAGGTGCTGTGGTGACGCTGAGCAGGAACTCCATTAGAATTTCCATGTCATCCCGCAGGCATTCCACAGTGTAGCTATGTTTTCCCTTGTTGAAGTCACACTTAATTTACCACCAACAGCTTCAATTTCATGGGTTATCTGAAAAGATGATGGATGTTCCTTTTGTAGTCAGACTGGATGCACAACAAAGCAAATGAGAGGCTCCTCAGTTGTTAGAGTCCTCGTACCCACTGCCTGCTTTAATGAGCAAACCCATTCTCTTTTTAAAAATATTTTATTGATTTTTTACAGAGAGGAAGGGAGAGGAATAGAGAGTTAGAAACATCGATGAGAGAGAAACATCGATCAGCTGCCTCCTGCACACTCCCCACTGGGGATGTGCCCGCAACCAAGGTACACGCCCCTGACCAGAATCGAACCTGGGACCCTTGAGTCTGCAGGCCAATGCTCTATCCATTAAGCCAAACCAGTCAGGGCGAGCAAACCCATTCTTGATGCAGGAGCACAGTTTTCCAGAGATGCAATCACTAAACTATTTGGTAATTTGGTAAAGTTGAAGTCCTGGAGATGTGCAGGCACTCCTGCAGGGGCAGTCATGGCTTTCACTTTGGGAGCAACTTTGAGGGAATAAAATCTCTTGAAAGAATATACAAGGCCTATCTAGTGCCAGTTGCCTGCAGTGCATGTGGTTCCCGCATGCATAGGTATTGCAGCCCACGTGGCTTTGCTAGTGCCCCGTAGCACAGCAGCTTCCCTAGCGTCTGAATCCTGTGGTGCATGTAGTTGGGCTGCCCCGGTGCCCAGATCCTGCAATGCTTCTTTTTCATAGTTGTTTTGGCTATAGTTAGGTCCTTTGCATTTCCATATGAAATTTAGAATTACTGTGTCAACTTCCGCATAAAATCAACATAGCTCCAATTCACCTTTTACTGCCTGCTCTGAAAAAAATTATAATGGGCCCTTTGTGTTTTTTCTCTGCCAACAGGCACCATGTTAATCTTTGTCGTTAGAGGGCGCTGGAAAGACACTGCAGGAGACGGGATTTTCCTCCTGGTTCCAGTGTGCTTGCTAGGCGGGCTCCTGCAATATACAAGGCCTATCTAGTGCCAGTTGCCCGCAGTGCATGTGGTTCCCCTATGCATGGATATTGCAGCCCATGTGGCTTTGCTAGTGCCCCGTAGCACAGCAGCTTCCCTAGCGTCTGAATCCTGTGGTGCATGTAGCTGGGCTGCCCCGGTGCCCAGATCCTGCAATGCAAGTGGGTCCTTCAGCTCCAAGCTCCTGCCAGGTATGCACCTTCTCCACAGCCAGCTCCTGCAGCGCACAGCGGCCGGCAATATCTACTGGCCACTAGCTTCTGCTGACACCCCCTCAGTCAGCTCTGGAGTGGAGCGTGCCTCAGTGACACACTTCCCCATGGACAGCTGGGAATCTGCAGGGCTCTCCCCAGGCCAATGGCCTGGACACCCTAGAGAGGTAAGCTAGGCAATCACATGGCTCCCCTGCCCTCTCCAGGTTAACTGTCCTTTGCAAATCAATGTTTCATGTTATTTTGTGTGCTTCCAAGGTATTTCTGAGGTATTTTCGAGGGGAAGGGTAAATCAGGCCCTTGACCAGAAGCAGAAATCTCAAAAGGATTATTCTTCTTTGGGAAAGAGAAAATATTTAAAATGAGTGAACTTTTTTATGACTTCCCCGTACATCTGGACAACTGAACCTGGTAGCAGTTCTACAACTTTAAGTTCAGGAATATACTTTCTAGGGAAATTGAGGTCAACAACTGCAAATGTTGCTCATGTTTGAGTCTAGGAAACTCTATTTGCCCCATCGTCACCCTGTGTACTGTGTAACCGTGCTTGACGAGACGCACAGGGCTCAGGTGAGACAGTCCTGGGTCCACATTCAAAATAGCTTATGTGAAGAACTGCTACAGGCTTGTATGCCTAAGGCTGGGTTTGGGGTGCAGGTGGAAGGCAGGTGAGCTCTCTTGGTTTGCCATATGCTACCCTCTCCCCTCAGATACTGTCCCACATAACTCTGCACTGCTCTGAATGAGAATTTTCACCTCCACCCATCTCTTCTGAAGAATATTGCTGAGCGCGAGTTTGGGCGCCCGCTCTGCTGCCTCCCTTCTCTATCTCTTAGACCCATAAGCCTTGCTTAATTTAATAGTACTAAACTGGAGCTGAGCCTGAACTTCCTCTCAAGCTGAGTCTCCCCTTGATGTCTTACAATATGGGAACAGGCATAATATCATTTGATAAATCTAGGAGAAAACAATAATTAGAGCACTCGGCAAATTAGACGGCGACGGTACCATCACTCAGCATACTGCTAGCAGCGCGGCTCCGGCGCTTTTTAATTGGTAGGAAAACCGCTCAGTTTCTTTTCCAGGCTGCTGAAAATGAGATCTAGGTGGTGGCTTGGTGGGGGATAAAGTTGCTCTTTGAAAACAAGTCAGCGAGGGGAGGAGGTGGTGTTTCTTAAGTCAGTAAACATGCATTGATTCCTAACTGTGTAAGTTTATTGTTTTGAGTGGGGAGGCAATTAAAATGTGAGCAAAACAGCCTCTGCCTTCAAAGGGGCTAACGGTGTACAGTGAGCAATGAGTCTTCAGTACAAGGCAATACAAGGACACCAAGTCTCCTCACTTACATTACATTTCTGAACTACATCTCAAGTGTCAGAGTCAGACTTTTGCTGACTTAATAATCCATCCAATATCAAAGTTGATCTGAAACTTTCTATGTAAAAATTAATATTCTCAATATTCACTAAAGGAAAATCCTTAACTTTAATGATTGTTCCTATCAGCATACAACGTGACTGTATTTCATGTGAATGTGAGTTATGGAAATCTAAAATATTGCAATATAGAAATATTAGCAAACTTACTTTATGAATACACTTTGAAATCATGTGAATCCTTACAAAGGAAACATTTGTGAAGAATGGCAAAAGTTCAAAGTCTACTGGCCAAGTGACTTACAAACTGGATCCTCCCATAGGCAGCACCATGTTAGCCAGTCAACAGAAACGCTGGCCAGTTTTGGCCAGCAAATGTGTGGATTTGATTTATGTGAGGTCAGCAGAAATGCATCCTCATTAAATGTGACTTCTCTGTGCTGCCCTAATAACTAAGCCCATGGTCTTCTTTTCAAACGAACATACCCCTGTGCATAAGCAGCTTCTCTTCCTTATAATCCCCTTCCATTGGCTTAGGTACTAGGCCAACTCCTTTTCATATTTCAAGACTCAGTTCAAAAGCAGGCCCTACTGAAGCCTTCCTTAATATCCTCTCCATTTAACCTTTCTTAAATTTTCCTTTTTCTAGTTTCCATGGACATATGTACATATTTTTTTGAAAATGTTGTTGTTTCTTGCACATATCTTATCTACTCTTGTGAAGGCAAGTAGTATGTCTTAGGTTCTGGGAAGGCAAAGGTGCATAACACAGAACCTAGTGCAGAGTACATTTCACAGTGATGCACAGGGTGCACATTCAATGTGCCCAGCATAATGTAATGCACTAGAATGAACAGTGAGAAACAGGATAAATGTGGTCCTTGCCCAAGCCTCCAGGGTAAACAGGGAGACAAACACTTGAATAAATAACTGAAGTATGATGATAAGGGATGGGCTGAATATAGCTGAGAAACCCAAGTTTTTCTAGGGTATTAGAGAATTAACCCCTAGTACCAGGCTTGTTCAAATAGGAGATAATAATGGGAGATGCGTTTTCCTAGCCAGCAGCAAAAATCAAGGAGTTCTGTGCCTACCAGCTATTGAGAAAGACTCAGATGGCAGAATACCTGTCACAGGTGTTCTGAATACTCAGGGGAAAAGTGTAACTCTATTTGAATGGATTTTATATCATAATGGATTGTAAAAAACAATTAAAGTAGTAGATTTCTGTTTCCAATGTACATTCTGAACACATGGAAAAGGCTCTGATTCAGGATGAGAGGGAACCACAGGCAAAAGCAAATCCCCATTTCTTTTCTGCATCATTCCCTATGTGGTGCTGTGTTTGGCTTTAACTTCCTCCTTCCTTCCTCACCCCATGATCAAACTTTTGAATGTGAATTGCTTCCTTGGAAGTGAATAACACAGGGACAGCAAATGATTTACTGCCTGGATAAGAAATTCAATTTAGAAGAACACTACTTCATGATCTGTTCATAAATTTTAGATCTCATAATTTTAATGAAATATTCTGTGCCTCCTATCTACCAATATATAGTATGTTCTGCAACTATTTATGGCAGTATAATTAAAAACAGCTCAATATGTGCAGTCATCCACAAGTCAATGGCTCAGTTCATATCCAACGGCACAGGAAAAGCACTAAAAATTAATTTGGTTTGACTGCTTTTATGGGTTTCAATATAAGAATTGGGGCATGGGGGCAGGGGATGTAAACATTCAGTCTATGGCACCCAGGTTTATCCCATGTAGTATATATACAACTTAAACTCAGGGTATGTCCTTGCTCTAACAGTTCAAACTCAGACCTCTGTATGAGGTAGCTTTTAATTTCTATTGATATGAGGATGTGGCAAATGAACTTCCTGCTTTGAAGATAAAAAAGAAAGGACCTGAGATAAACCAGAGTGCTATAGACTGAAATCTAATCCCCAGTCTGATGGCATTTGGAGGTGGTCCTTTGGGAGGTGACTAGGCCATGAGGGTAGAGCCCTCATAAACGAGGTTAGTGCTCTTATGAAAGAAAGAGATCCCACAGAGCTCCCTTGTCCCTGCCACAATGTGAGGTTACCTGGGAAAAGGCTGTCTATGAATCTGGAAGCCAGATCTCACTGGACACTCAAATCTGCCAGCTTCTTGACCTTTGACTTCCTAGCCTCCAGAACTATGAGAAATAAACTACCTACTCTATGGTATTCTGTTTTAGCAGCCCAAATGGACTAAGATACCACAGGCCACAGTGTTGCTTCTCTACAAACTCTGGGCTTAGAATAAAACATAGATATTTAAAAAGACATGACACTTAGAGTGGTTGATAGATCCCAGAGGTTGGGTAGGACACCAAAAGGTGGAGTTACTAATTATATTACCTTGCCAGCATAATAGTGTTACACCTAGACTTATAAAAACCAGTGTTTCTGAAGTGTAAAGAGAATTCATGATTAGTCATACAGATTCCCACTTAAAATACATGTGGGAAGCAAAGTTCTAATTATTCTTAATTATCACTGTTTTCAAAATTTTTATAAAATAGCCTATTGTTCTATATGCACATTGATTTTTTTCTCTCACTGTTATTTCCATAGATACTAAGGTTTTCTCAGCAATATTTCCCTCACTTAGGTTTGCCCTTTGTTTATCCATCAAATTCAGACCTGAATTCTACTAGTGACACAAGTGAAACCTAGTTTGACTTAAGTGTTTAGTTTTTAGTGTAGAACAATAATCACTCTTAACTTTGTGTGTGTGTGTGTGTGGGTGTGTGTGGTTCATGAACCCCTTTGTGAAAGTGATTAATGTTGTAGACCCCCTCTATGGACAAATGCATATATGCACACACATAAGTTAAGTAATATAATCTCAGGAAATCCACAGACTTCCTGAACCCTTTTTGTGAAACTCCTTATATAGAGACAAAACATTTAGTTATGTTACATATACATTCTGGTCAAGTCCCTTATCAATATGCACTGATATAAGTGAAATAAGGTTCTTGTAAATAGTAGTATATTTTCCCCTAGAAGTTTTGTTTTGCTGTGATTACAATTTATTTACTTATTTATTTCTGGCCAGTTTTTCCTTACTCAGAGTAAGGGTCACATATAACTTGCCCTCTTATTTATCCGGGTGTTATGGGAAGTTTTTTCCCCCACATTCTCATTCCAATGCACCATTGTTTTAGTTTGTATGCAGGCAATTCCTGTCCAGGAAAGATGAGGGCAACAGAAGACGTGATCTGGACATTTACTTTTGTGACATAATAGGTTTTCTCATTGCTGACAGAGTTGAGTTATAGTATTCTGTTACTTGCAACCAACACTAAATCAGAGATTTCTAGATGGTAAGATATTCGATTATTGGCTCTTTTGGTACATTCTTTAAAAAAAAAATCAGTGAATTAATATCCCTAATTAAATCTTCTTTTCCATTTCAGGTATACCACTTGTTCATGTTTGCTGGACTTCTTTTGGTTCTAGGACAAGGAATTAAGTAGGTGTATGTAAGGTAGCCTCCACCGAATAAGACAGAGTGTGGAGAATACAGGGGACTAAGTCCCAGGCTTACTTGCTGGGATCTGCTCCTTTGAAGTAGGCGTTGACCGTTTCTGTAAATGCTGCTGCAACAGGGAGGGTGTCCTGGGCCCCCATGGTTAGAGGGCTGGGTCCCCTGGAGGAACCTGTATAAAATGAAAAAATTTCATTAATATGGGCATAAAAGACATTTTACTATATGTGGAACTATATTAAAGGATTAAAGAATACAATCTACTACTGAAAAAAAGGTAATGTGCTAAGAACTATAACTTTGTATATTCAACATAGAGCTCAAATATTTAAAAAGAAATATTTGGCTGGTTTACAGACAAACACACTTGAAATTAATTCAGTATGTTATTTTACTACAGAAAAAAATCCAAGCAGAAGAATAAAGTCCTAGGTGTTTCAATGTTTTGCATAAAGCACAAGGCAGTATTTGCATGACAGTTTGTACAGCAGGTAGTTAATAAAGGAAATTATTAGCTTCCTATTTGAGCATTCACCCTACATAATTGCCCATAACACTTTTAGCATTTCTTCACGTTAAAGACACAAATAGCCACAGAGTACAATGCTACACTTTGTCCTTTTCTGGATTATTTCCGTTTTAAAAATTCTGGGATTATTTCCCAATTATTCTCAGATCAAGTAGGCTCAAGCTTACATGTCCAAAAAATGGACAACCAAAATATACCCTTTAGCTTGGAACAAACACATAAATGCATCAATTCATACTATCCTATATAATAAAAGGCTAATATGCAAATTGTCCCCTCAACTCAGAGTTCAACCAGGAGTATGACCAGGGGGCAGGGCCAGCTGGCCAACCTCCCACGTCTCCTCCCCCTATCACCTCCCTCCCCCCACCCGCTGGCCTGGCCCGATCAGCCCCTATTTCAGCGGGCTGGCCGGATGTACCCCCCCTCCCCGCCACCGCACGAATTTGTGCACCAGGCCTCTAGTTAAAAATAACAGCAATACGCATGTTTATTGAACACCTTCTACACACCAGGCACTGCACTGGATACCTTACAAGAATATCATGCAACCCCACATCAGCCCTGTGGGACAAACATTATTATTCCTATTTTACAGAAGAGAAAACTGAAGCTCAAAGAGGTAAGTGACTTGCCAAAGACAATAAAGTTAGTTGAATGGCAAAATTAAAATTCAAACCTAGATTTGCCACCCTATAAAGCTCATGTTTTTCTTATTATGTCATACAGTTTGTTTATATGAGACATTTTCTTGTATGGTTTTGACATAATGTGAGGCTTCCAAAGGGAGCAAGGCTTGGGATTATTATCTTTGTTATTAATATGTAGGCCTGGTGCTGAACAGTAAAGTGTTAGTAATTATAAAGTATTTAATTATGTCCCCTGCTACTGCTTCAAAGGAATACATTTACTCTTCCCCGCTCCATCACAGACTGCATGTTATGCTTCTTTTATCTTCAGTAACTCAGTCACTTCTGTTTTGTTCTCTGGCAATGAAAAAATATACCCTTTGTAGATCTCTGTCTTCAATAAAGTTTCCCTTGATAATTCTAGTTCACGCTAGTCTCTTCTTTTTCTATTTCCCTTGGCTGTTAATATCTAGTAGTTGGCAACTGATTATACTAGTAAGAAACATCTGCTTACTCTCTGCTATGTATCAGGTACTATGGTGTTGGGGATTCAAATATAAATTAAAGATAATCCTTGTCTTCAAGGAGTTGCAGTTCAATGTGCTAACATCACTATCAGCGTTAACACCATCAACACCATTCACTACCATCACCATTACTTCCTGCGTACTTACCAGGTGTGGTACATATATTATCTTTGTAAACATATGAAGGAAGCATTACCTTCATTTTGCAGTTGATATAGCCAAGGCTCAGAGTTTATACAATTAGGTCAGTCTTGCACGGCTGGTACACAGAATATTTAAGACTGGTACTCAGATATGTTTAAGTGCAAAGTTTAGGCTCTGAGGGCTATATCATTTTGCAGACCAAGTAGGAAATTATAGCATCATTTGAGGGAAAGTAAACAATTAAAGTACCAACAGTGAGTGTTATACATGTCTAAGTCGTTGCTGCCCACAAGACTTTAAACATTTAGAGAGAAGAAAGTATGACATGAACTTCTTTTATGAGACCTCCCTAGTCTGTAAAATAGAGCCCGAATTACATTGACCTTTTAATAAATAAATTATCCATTGCTGAGTCTCAAAAAGGTAAAGTTTATGCACATCAATAAATAAAGGAGGCACATGTAAACAAAGACCATTATTTTCTAATAGTGTTGCTCAGTTTATTTGTTCACACATTAGTTCAAATACTTATTGAATGAATCCTAGGTTATTCTGCTGAAGTAGCACGGTCTCCCTAACTGTTGGTTAAAACTTGGCAAGGGGGCTGGATTCTCACCAGTATGTCAGGATCATAGCCACCTTATGATTGTAGCTTGGAGTTTTGTGAAGGGATAGACCTTCAATCAAATTATTAGAGCAATTTAATAAATGCTTTGGGAATGGTACGAGCAAAGCTCTATGAAAGCACTTCTTGCTTGGATGCGTCAGGGAAGGTTTCATTGAGAAGGTGATAAGGTGGCTGAGGTTTGAGGATGACTGGGATCTCAGGATGGGGAGAAGGAAGATGGTCCAGCATGTACATAGGTGGACATATGTTTGCTCAGTTCACATGATATTTTGAGAAACCACAGGAAGTGTGACATTATTATTATTATTATTATTATTATTATTATTATGTGTATGTGTGTGTTTGTGCATATATATATATGAATGTGGTGGCTATTGAAGGCTGAGACAAAGAAGGAGATGAGGCTTGGGGGGTTAGGAATCAGGTCATGAAGAGGTTTATATAACTATTTAGGAAAATTTGTCTTTATTTTATATGTGATTTATAGGCATTAAAATCATAGTTATTTTTTGATAATCTAATACAAATCTATGGTGCTTTTCAGAGCATCAGAATTATAAAATTTGGAACAGAATTATAAAATTCTTAAAGTCCTTGGGAGTCCTGGATAAAATTAAGAATACCCTCTATGGAAGATGGGAGGGCTTTGAAGCATTTGAAATAGGACAGTTAAAAGAGGGCTTGAGTTTAGATCACTAGCTATAGTGTGGTGGAGAATTTAGTGAGGGAGACAATAATGCAGGCAAGGCGACCTCTTAGAAAGAAAAAGATAAAAATTGGTGAGAAATGCCGATATTAGTAGATGAAGAGAATATCATGTGTAATATTTTTCAGTTCTGCAAAGCCTTCAATAGTCTCCCATGATATTCTTATGAATAAAATAGTGAAACTGGGTGGATAATAGTCTTATCAAGTGAATTGAGAATTAGATGAATCACAATATTCAATGACAAGTATATATTAATCTACACATATTCTACAAATGTTGAGCCATTTCTAAGTAGCGATTATCCTAAATCTATTTTAAGGTAAATTGTTCTTCTTTTTTCTTTTTAACTATTTCCTTACGATACAGTTTATTACTACAAAGTGGGATGACCAAACTATAAGGCAAATATATTTTTTACTAATAATGACAGATTAGTTTGCATAAAGATTATACTTAATTAAAATGCTATTAGTAATAAATGAATGCTTCTGTTCCCCTGCAGTACCTTAAGAGAGTCTGTTAGTATTATCATTAGAAAACTGGTTTAAAACCAGAAGAATATCTAAGGTGGTGAAAAATTCAAACCTCATGGCCTAAGAGGACTATGAGGAGCCTGTCACCTATTTTCAAATATCTAAAATAATATTACCAGACATTGACTCAAGGGACCAGGGTTCATGGCCACGGATCTGCAAGTTAATAGCTACGTGACCCTGGGCAATTCAATTAACTTTAGGTTTTCTCAACCACAGAACAAAGGCAACAGAACACATACTCTCTGTGTTTTAGAATTCTATGATTTTTAAGTTGTTTATAGGTACTAAAAAAATTTGAACAGTAGGAACAACTTTCTAACAGGGAAATAAGCTGCCTTGAAAATAGTATCTCTTCATTGGAAGTTGGGGGAGGAGGATCTGTCAAACATTTACTGAACCTCTACTTCCTGCAAGATAATGGTGGGGACACAAATATGTAAACTCTCAGGAAAACAAGACATAAACATATGAAAAACTTAATTAACATAAGCAAACAAAAGCTTAAGACAATAAAGTGAGAGCACTAGGTTTTTTCACCCAAGATTAATTGCCAAATAAGCCAGATGGGGGCACTGCTCTGTGACTGAACAAAAGGAAGCTTGGGCTCTGGTCATACAGATTTAGCTCTGAATCCTGGCTCCTCCGTTTACACTCTGGATGACCAGGAGCAAGCTACTTAATGTCCATGACTCAGTTTCCTCATCTTTAAAATAGAGCAGATAATAATAATATCTATGCTAAAGGCTTGTGGTGAACATCAAATGGGATATTTGTGAAGTCCTTAGCACAGTATGTACTCGAAAGACATAATTATTGCCGTTTTTGTTGCTGTTACTTTGTCAGGGCAAGCTTTACTCAGGTTGTTGAAATAGAGTAGGTTCTTTGAGGTTAAGTATTTACTTTGGTAGGAAACAAAGGGAAATGATACCACAAATGGTATTTTTCATTGAGCATAAAGCTGAACTAGAATTGTCAGGTTTCTTTCATCACTAAAATTCTGTTATCATAAGACCTTTGTTATATGTGGTTATTATATCTGTTTAAGTTGCTTGATATGATGCTTGGACCAACAGGAGGTAAACGTTTGCTGAATGCATGTTTGTCTTTTGATTCATTCAAGGGTGAGTTCTTGCAATAATTAGACATTGTACTAGGTGCTGAAGGATACATAGAAAAATATAAGATATGCCCTAATCTTCATGAGGCTTAAAGTATGGAAAGGAACTATAATATTAGGTAAAAATAAACAGTAAAGCATTATATAAAGTTGGAAAATAATTTAATATTATAACTTATTATATTACTACCAATGATCATTTTTAAAGAATTCAAGGTAGAAACAGTATTTATTATGTAAGTCCTTCCATAAAATAAAAGATCAAACACTAATATGGCTTTATGTTCTTTATACATTGAAGGGATAATCAAATTCATAATCTCCATTTCACTAGCTCCGTGGTCGGCAAACCA